ATAGTGGTTTGAATCCAGAGCTTCATTAGAATCTTAAAGGATGGTTTGTTTTCTCCTACAATCTTTTGATGAGCTACACAGGACGACTATGGCACTGCCTGGTCTCTACTAAGCAAATAGTGTGACAGGATGCAAAACAAAAGGAAGTCAACAAAAAATTAATTACTTCAACCTCTTCTTTCAGTGGGGCTAGGTTTAAATTCCTTCATGAATGAAAGGGGCCCTTCTATTTGCACAAGGATATTGGATTACTCCAATTTTCTCAAGATCCTAATACCCAAGAGGCAAATACCAAACAGATTTTAGATACAAGTGTAATTTCAGTCTAAGCATGTTGAATCTAGGTTATCCAATGTTTTCTGGGCTGCATAGAAACATGATTCATATTTCAATAGATTTCTCAATGGAATTTATCAGATAATCAAAGGAGCGCATATTCCAGTCAAGTTTGTATAGAACTTGTTCATGGCAAATTCTATCCTTTCTCAAAAATTCACCTTGATGATTGAGCCTCCTTCAATATTGGAAAGGAAAAACATTTTCCTAAAACATACAGAAATATTTTGTATGAAAATTTCATTAAGTTAAAGTATTAAGTACTTTTAAGTTAAAAATAACCTGGGAATTATCATGTCTTTTAAGGAGAAAAATAGCAATAGCCAGTTTCTGTGGTGATTACTTAATCCAAACAAACCCAAATACATTATTTCTAGCTAGTACCATCTTATAATGGTACTACCTAAAAACCTACTTTTCTCATGCGCACGCTAGTATATATGGAGAAATGGGTCAAGTATATACCTAGTGCACAAACTCAATTGATCAGCAACTGTATCTTTACTAGATTGCCTCTTGCTTTGAGGCTAGGTTTACTTTATGTCCCCTGTAGACTGTTGCTCCAGTTACCACTATTCCTAACTAAATGAATCATGTTTAACTCTGCATAAGGTTATGGTCAGTTTATAAGTAACAATGTACAGAAAGCCCATTAAGCCTTCAGGCAGTTTAGCAGCCTAAGATTTTTTCCTTCTCTGGACTTCTACATCAGAAGTGAACATAACAGAACTAATCCCTCTTGGAAAAAGGAATTACATTCCTACTTCAATTCAGATTTTTTTTTTAAGTCTTCACAAAAACTGTAAAGGAATTGTATGCTTTTCCAATGCTCAAATAAACTGAAAACATTTCAACCTATCTGTTATTCTTAAAAAGTTTAAGGAATTAACAATTTGAATCAGCATTTTATCTACTACATGACAAGAACTCACTAGCATTCTCATAAATGCCTGGTTTACTGATTTATCTTGTAAGCCTTTTTGAGTTTTACTCAAATTTATGAAGCATAATAAGTTCAATATCCACACTACCCTTTGTTACGATTAATATAGTCTGCAATCTTTATCTCAGGACTGTGCCTAAAACAGTGTTTCTTAACCTCAGTAACTTTAAGATGAGTGGACTTCAACTAATAATGTTGGTTGGGGAATTCTGGGAGTTGAAGTCCACCCATCTTAAAGTTACTGAGATTGAGAAATAGTGGTTTAAAAACTATCAACTGTGTGCACCTACTCTCTGACCTATTTTTCTAAGATTCTTATTCCTCACCCCACCCCTCTTTTTTAAACAGCAAGTTTAAGAGACTTCATTTAATTTTTACTCTATTTTGTAATGTATTGGTTGGACTTATAGAATGGAGAAAGACTAACTCCTATGTGCTCTCCAGAAGAGATTCTGTATGCATGCTTTTGGGGAAAACTTGGATTATTATTATTTTTTGGGTGTTGGGCTAAGAGGGAGAGAATAGAAGTAACAATGTAAAAGCAGTTGGTCAGGAAAGAGGCCTCTATTCCTCTGCAGGAAAAAAGAATATCACTTTTTATACCTTAATTTTAAAGCCATGAAGGAGGATGAAGAGTTCCTTTATTATTTATAATAAATAGCATACCACAGAGGTCTATTAATTTCTATGGCCATTAGTTCTCTCAAACAGAAAGTGATAAATTGTGGATTAATATAATTAACTGAAGATTGCTAAAAGTAAAGAAAGAATATGATTTATTTTATCAAGAGTAAAATAGAGATGTTATCTCTGGTAATCATTAATGAACATCATTAACTAGGACAACGTTATCTTTAAGGATTTGTTTATAGATAACAGATGAGATATGGGGAAAATAGATACTTTGTTGCATTGTTAGAGAAAGTGATAAGTTAAAATTGTTTATGCTTGTGATGAAGGAAAAAGTCATTTATATATTTCTTTTCTTTTGTTTCGTACATGATTACTTTTTTTCTGTTCTATTTTTCTTTTCTGCATTTTTATTCTTTTAGCCTGTATTAAATTGTTATCTTTTTAATTATAATGCTAAATTATAAAATATAATTAATCCAATAAGAAGTAATTGGTAAGTAAGTTTCAATGAATGGTATTAGAGCAAATAAGGAATCACAAGCTGGCTGTAACTATTTTTTTCATTCTCTTGAGTTGGAAAATGATTTTGAAAAGAAGAAGAGAACTCTGAAGCTGGCAGAAATAAAAAAAAGTGATAGTATGCAATATTGAGGCATTTCATGAGTTGCACAACTACTTAAAACATGCAAGTGAAACATACGAATACAAAATATGCAAAAAAATATCCCTGAGAAGCATTGCAAATATGACATCAATAAAGGAAACAGTTACCTATTCTGAGGAAGAGTCAGCTAAGAGTAAGTGGAGGGAAGTGCTGATTTAGAAAAGTGGTATTTTTAGTGGTAATCTAATTATCACATTAGGTTAGTTGGGAAATCACTGATACGATTTTAGGATTGCTAATTCCTAAAATTGACAGTATTTTATCAAAATGTATTATGAATATAACTTGATATATCAAAAATCAAGTTATTTGATCACAATATGTTAGTTAAATAAAACTGAAATTGTGAAGATATGGTTGAGTACAAATTCAAAAATCACTGGAAACCCAGAAAATATAGATGGGTCGCTTTAGCTGTTATCTATATGGTGCCCTGAGGAAGTAAGAGATTTTAACTTTCATAACTGTTAGGCAGCATGAGTAAAGCAAGGCCACTTTAGATCCCCAAGAAATATAAAAGATACGGGAACCTTTCCATGACTAATTTTCTTTTCTGGAAAATCCCGACAGGATTTCTTCACCAGTAGGAATAGAAAAATATAGCATTTGGGGATGAAAATATGGTCTCAATTGTATCTATGTCCCTACTTCTAACATTTATTATTCTAACTGACCATTCATCCTTCCTTTAAACCTATGTGTTTTGCTATTTGAGGAATTTACCACATATGTTCCTTACTTCTAAAAAAATTAATTTTATTTTAAGGAAATCCTCCAGAACTGTTATGTGGACTTTCAAGTAATCAGGATACACAAGTAACATTTTCAAGTGGTCAGCAAATATACAGAAGGGACAGTGCAAGTTTTAACAATAATTATCATGATTATCATATGTGTATCATTGTTTATGGAAATAATTCTTCCACAAAATTATTTCCCCACATTAAAGTATTTAAGAAAGTTTAAATTCCTTTCTGGAATTTTTTTTTTTTAAAAAAAACAAAGTTTAAAACGTAGTAAAATTGCTGCTATTAAAAATGACTCCAGCTAAAAAAATGAGAAATTGGGAAAAGATATTAATCCTTATCTACAAGATTTACCCCTTAATAATGTTGTATAACGGTTCAAAAATTGCATTATCTATATGAAAATGTCTATTTGCTGATGTTGAGGCATATTTTTTGAAAAAAGCAAATGTATCTTAAAATTAATAAACAACCTGGAAAAATGTCAGTGTAAGGTAAATCAGTTAACAACAACATCCTCAACAAAGCCAGGACAACAGTTTAAAAGTAAATATTCTGGTCATAACTTTAGATTTCAAAGATAGGGGCTAGAGAAGGGTTTATATGATCCTAAGAACATTTTATCATTCATAGAAACAAATAATCAGTTATATATCAATTATTTATATTCCTGACCTTGATTTAATTGTTCAATTGAACTTTAATATGTTAACTTCTAAAGTTAAAAACATTTATGGAGATGCTTAAACAATGAAATATTAAGACTAGCGTGAATGTTAGCAGACAACTAGGAAACATAACTGAGTTTAAATTTTTGAACTGGAACGGCAAACTAGCCATTAATATAAGTTTGCTCACAAGTAACATAAGACACAAAACAAATTTTTTTAACTTTCTACTTAAACATGCTAGGCTGGGTAAGCAGAATTCAACTACGATTTCTGTTATAGTAAAGCCTATTTTTATAAGTCTTGTCTTTGGTATTTTAACACTATGAATCCTGCTTTCCAATCTCCAAATATTGCTGAACATTATATTACGAAATTCAGCTATTTCAGCATTCGCAGCCAGGAACCTGATATAATGCACAGAGCATCGGAGGATCAAACATTACTCGTTTCCTCCAGTTAAATAGGCTGTTATACTAAATTGCAGTTAGTTCCATTTTAAACTACTTTCAAACCATAATTTTATGATAATTTAAGTGTTAATCAGAATATCCATTTTGGATGGAGGGGGAAGCATAGATTAATTATAACCAAGCACTCACAGTGTCCTTCCTCTTGGATATAATAGAAGTAAGGATGGAAAAAGCATATACTTATAAAACGTCAGGGCTCACTGTTATAGAATGAAATCAAAGTTCATTGCAGAATTCAAAGATTTGGTAATTTCCAAAAACAATATTTCATATTAGAAAGTAGATGGATTTTTAACTCTTGTTATCCAAATTGTAAAATCTATCTTCCCAATCTTGAAAGTTTTCTTATCAAAACAGAAAACTATTTATATAAGAATGAAATATAAAACAAAATATACTGGCCATGAACCCCCCTAGGAAGCAAATCCTCCAGGAAAGTATATTTTCTTTCAAATAAGTTAAATGACTGTAATGATAGATTAATGTATAAACGGATGCTGTTGATAAAGTGGCAATGCATAACAATCTTTCAATCCATTATAAAGGTGCAATTGCCTGCAGTTCTTCCGTGTGGATACAGCAGTGAAGTTCTGCTTTACAAATTCCAGGCACAAGGGATTTGGTGGCAGCAAGCAAAGGCGGTTCATCTTCTCCTAGGAAGAAAGATGTTGGAAAGGTATTGTTAGTTAATTGGTCTTTCTCCAAATCAATAATTTATTTATTCACATTCTAGCATTTCTATGCTATTCTACTCTCAATAGCGGAGTTACAGCATGTATAATATACTCAACATATAGTACCATTTATTTTAACAAACCTCAAAACTACACAATAAAAATAGCAGCTTTTGTTAGCACTGAGCCATGGTGGCGCAGTGGTTAGAATGCAGCATTGCAGGCTAACTCTGCCCACAGCCAGGAGTTTGATCCTGACAGACTCAAGGTTGACTCAGCCTTCCATCCTTATATAAGGTTGGTAAAATGAGGTTGGTAAAATGAGGACCCAAATTGTTGGGGGCAATATGCTGATTCTGTAAACCGTTTAGAGAGGGCTGTAAAGCACTACCGGGTGGCATATAAGTCTAAGTGCTATTCATGCAAAACTTAAAGTTCTATTTGTGCAACAGAATTTCTCTTCCAGCCACCATATTATTTCAAATCTAATATTATGTGATATTTCCGAACCCTGTAGCCTAGATTTTGGGAACACCTGATGAGCTGTGGACAGGAGGCTAAAACCTGATTAGAACACAGGAACTATTGGGACAAAACAAGCTTAAGAGAAAGTATTCTTGATGTCATGGAGTTTGAAAAACACGCTTCCTCTTATTGAAAAGCTTTGCCCACAGGTCATGGAACCATGTTGGGTGATGCTGGAGGAAAGTCCTAAAGCTATTGATACAAGGTAGAATTATCAAAGCAGAGGAAAATACTTTTCAGATCCAGGCTGTTCGTCATATCTATTCATTTCTACTGTTTTAAGGGAATATTTTCAGTTCTCCTATATAACAACAATTTTGAAATATTTACAGTTATAAGGGAAATCTCAGAAGTTTCAAGATTTTACATACTATATGCCATTCAGTTTTTTCTCTTACAACAAGTTAACCTAACTATAGATCTAATTGAAGCTGACCCAGTGCAGTGTTTTATGAGAAGATGGTTTCCAGTTCCATGTGATCAACTTAAAGCTATGCTGGAAGTGATCACCATCATCAGAATCAAAAGCAATGGTGGTTTGTCGAACTCTACTGACTTTGATATTATTTATATCATCTTGTAAAATTTAAAATCTTAACATGCAATTCTAGAGTGCAACTCTGTCTACTACATCTTACCTAGTCCTGATGAGGAAGAGACACTCTCTGTAATGGAAGATGTTTCAGTTTGATCTGTTAAGAGTCCATCCATTAAAGATAGTGACAGTTCAGATGAAGGAACAGAGGAATCATAAATTCCCGAATCTCGGGGCATGTCTGGTAGATTGGCAGCTTTTACAACATGCAGCAATGGCTGAAGAATGGAAGCAGTCTGAATGTCCTGAGATTCTCTATCCACCCCAAGATTCAAATGCTGTGTCACACAAAGAGAGTCTGAATGTAAAGGAGGAGGAACATTTGCGTCTACTTTTAGATAAAAATCTCCATCAGTCACTTGTTTATTGACTAAGTCATTTAATACTAAGCCAGAGTCAAAAGTTTCTATTACTGGATCCGGACAACGTAAAGGTGTTGGGAAGAAAGAAGCAAACTGCTTCTCAAACCAGTCAGGCTCCTGGTCAATATACTGGTGCATGTTGCAAATTGCTACGTAGAGCGATCGTCCAGACTTGCTTCTGAAATAATTTCTTTTGCTAATATGTACAGGATACAATTCTGAATCATGAAAGCTAAGATCTCTGGATTTTAAATGAGCATAAAGCTGAGGCAGGTTATCCATAAGCTTGTACTTTGTGGTTAAATCTAATACTCCGGGAATGTCACCTTCACAGGAATAATCAAAGTAAACAGCAATGAACTTGCAGAGGTCACGTGAATTTTGCTTTGCATGACGTAGCTGCTCTGCTATGGTAGCTATGGCAACCAGAAAGAGTTCTCCTTTCCCAGTATCCTTTTCTCTGGATCTCTTATGCTTCCAGCTCCTTTTCTCCACAAAATATTTCATTCCTTTTGAACATACAATGATGATATATTGGGATTCATTGATTTTCCGATGAAGCCACTCTTTCTGACCTTCTTTACAGTTTTTCAGATCTTCCCATAAATCTAAAGAAACCTAGGAAAAAAGATTATAGCCTTTGTATAATGGTTTGACTTTCAACACTCGACTTATGTTTATGAATGTGCATTTACGGGCTGGCATTTATTACAGGAGTGCTTAAGTGAGCACCTACTTGGGAAATTGTTTTTTAAAAAAGCAGAATGTATATGTATTTGGATGTTTTATACGTGTGTGTGTGAGTGAGTGAGTGAGTGTGTATGTGCATAAAGCATATGAGACACTGCACATTTCATACATGCAGAGGGAGAGGGAGAGAAAGAGAGAGAGAAGAGTTGGAATTACAAATTAAGGGTAACAACCACATAATAGCTGATGGGGAATTCTCTTAATGCTGTAAGTCGATGCTGTGAACGCTACTCTGGGACAGCCAGAGTAATATAGCGGTCAAGAACTGGAAAGACCCTGGGTCACATCTTCATTCAACTGTGGACTTCTTTGGGAGCTTTAAGCCAATCATGCTGTCTCACTCAGAACTTACAATGCTGTTGTTCTGAGGTTAAAATAAGGGGACACTTTCATATACCCTGTGCTCCCAAAAAAAAACTTATATGATTATGCCAAATATTTATTGAAGCTACTATATATGTTACAGGATCTGCGAGGTCCTTGGCGCTCTTTGAGCTTGGATATTTTCTTGCAAATGTTCCATTACTCAAACTATGTAACATCATCAGTGTTGGTAGGGAGTGGGGTATGCTTGTCAGGGGATCTATATGAGTTCTTATAGTATGAAGGAACTCATAATAGATAAAGAAACTATTTTGTTAAAATCCCAGAATCATAAGATTATCTATATATAAATAATAATGTTACCTATATATAGTTAGATTACCTATACTTAAAAAGAGTGGTAAGTTAGAAGCATATCAAATTAAAATAGATTGTAATGAAGACAAAACATAATGTAAACGAAATACTTGGCAAGATTATTGCCTGTTAGTCACCCCAAAATAATGTAATTGCAGGCTTTGTATTTGTTTTTTTTAATCAATTATACATAGAATTTTCCATTAATTTTTGAATCTTCAGAACTGCTTTTATGTGTGTGTGTGTGTATTTGTGTGTATAAATATGTATAATACAATATATATAATACACATACAAACAAAGTTACATCTATAATTGATTCTGACACTAGAACTCTTTTCTCCATTCTTGAACATTCTAGCCGTACTAGCACAGCAAATTAATTTGTGGAGTTAAAAGTCTAACATATCTGGATAGCATCCCATAAGGAAAGATTGGATTAGGATTATTTGTAATAGTTTTATTGTTAATGACACGAGCAACAGGATAAATATAATCATGCAAGTAATTTTGATTATATGTTCAGTAGTTCTAAGGTAGATTTCCATATTTTCTAAATGCAAAAAGTTTTAACAATGAGGCAGTCTTTCAAATTTATGCCCATTTCTAGCATGTTACTAATTTATGAGGTGCTTTATCAGCAAAAATATGTTTCACATTTGTATAAAGCTTTTGATACATAAATGGGTCAAGTGCTTCCCATTTTCTTCTGTATCAAGGATGGCTGGGTGGAGCTGTCCCCCATACTGAAGTGAACATTTAAAAGACGCTCCATATTTAGCAACAAATGAACTGGTGGAAAGAAGGATGTGTTAACCTACGCTTCCAGAATCAGGACATTTGAAAAACTCAGCTGAGCTTTTCTTCTAGGCCACATTAGAATATTCTCATTTTTTTTCTAGAACATTAGGCTTCTGAAAGAGCAAGTATTACACATCCTTGTTGCAAACATCTATCTGAAAAGTAACTACCAGGTAGTCCAAACAAAATAAGCAAGGATTACTTTTACTCAAAGCTACCACTAGAGGTCAGACATGCTATAAACATCTTCAGACAAAAATAAAAAAGTAAATCAAATGTTAAGATTGTAGTCATTTCAATTCAATTAATGCCTTAAAGAAATGTATTTAATATAGCACAAAGAAGACTTCAAATAAAACTTGCCCAAGAAAATGCAAGCAGGACCAATTTACCTCACAACCACAAAAGTCCTGAAGGAAAAAGGCAAAACACTGGATGACATTAATGTGCTTCTGGCAATCTTTATTGGAATAGCAGAGGAAGACTTTGGGCCGAGGCTGCTGCCTTTCCACATGGAGAGATGCAGAGTAGGTAGAAGATTCAGAACTCTCCTCATCTAAATGGGAATAGATATTTTCTAAATTGAAACAAAAAAATTAACAGTGAAGCATTTTACTATCTACACATGGAGAAGAACTGCATTATTTTCCCCTTTCAGCTTGCAAGATTCAAAATCTTGCTTTTTTCTCTCTCCTAATTCCAAAAACAGTCCGGGTTCCTCATTCTGCATACCTTGACCAGAGGGATTTTTTTTCCATCTAGGTGAGGCTACACGCTATATCTTGTACTAATCTTGTCAGATATGGATTATGAAGTCTTCTACAACTGCATACACTCAGAAATACAGCAGCCTACTCAGTGCAAGCACAGAGGCTCCTTCAAAACATTAAAATAAGGCAGGCACAAATCTGTAATGCCAAAGGAATTCTTGCTTCTTTCAGGACTCAGCAGAATGTGTGCCTGTAAACAGACCCCCCGAAAAAAGCAGATTACCCAGATGCTGCACTGCAAATAACTGATTCTCTAGGATATGTTAGATTAATTCTATCAGCCAAAAGACAAGATAAACTACAGGCCCCTAGCTGATCACAGCAATGCCACTACTTGCTTGATGCATAACAATATTCTGATCTCAAGAATTGTGGCTGCATTTTACTAAACAGATGCATATTAACTCCAGTACCAAGTTGGAAATTCCAGAACAAACAAGGTTGGAGAAGGTGATTTCTGGCAACGGCATCCAAATTAATTTCCCCATGACTAGTTTTGTAAAGGACTTCCACCCCTCAGGTCATTTAGAAGCAAAATGCCTACCTTGTTGCTTTTTGCGACACATCACTGTAAAAAGTGTTGCAAATGCAGAGATGACAACCAAGGGTACTGTAATGGCTACTGCTCTTATTGGACCTGCCCATGGGGAGTGCACTTGAAGAAAGCAGGGAAAAATAGCTAAATTAGCTTTTCTTAAACTGAGGTATTAGAATCATTGCATCTTCCCACTATTGAAACACGCAAGGCAAACTTATTTTAATTAAATTACATTTTGTGATACTACTCCACTAATTAGTATGAACCAAGGCCTTCTGAGATGAATTTCCAATAGCCACAGGCTTTGGATGAAGTCTTAACTATAGTCTAGCACAGATCTGTGTAAGTTGCTCCCTCTTGAGGAGACAAACAACTTTGTTGGCTACAAAAGGCCACTATCCATTACTTTGGGGAAAAGCTTTTCATTTTTATTGTCTTAATTTTTACTTATGAATTATGATTTTAAACCTGGTGTTATACTTTCATTTAAAAATAAAGCATTGAGAGCCTGTGATGCATGGTAGTGCAAGAAAGTTAAATAAATATATAATTACATAAAACAACAGAGATTCTCCCATTTCTGTATACGGTAATTTGAATGTCAGAGAGCCTGTGGCAAAGGGTCTCCATTCCGGAGCACTAACTCTATCCAACTTCCCTTCATATATTTTAAATAAAATAAAATAAAATGATCAAATTCAGTCTAAGAAAATTCACATCCATCACTCATCCACCTTCAGAATTGATTAGCACTGTTTTGCCAATGCAGAACATTCATTATATGGGGAAGAATCAGTAATAAGAGCTGAAAGAATGACCAGATTAAATCTGAACAAGCTCTCATCTCTACTATTATGGAATCTAAAATTTCCAAGTATAGGCTTAGGGTAGAAGTATCCTCTAAAGCTCTTTTTATATGCCTATATTCTACAGCATATATTCTACAGCTGTCTTATGAAATATTAAAAAAATGTTTCATTTAAAAAAACTTTTTAAAGATTTTTATACCTGGCTTTAACACATAGTGCATTGATTTTCTTGTTGTGTTGGTATCATCAATAAGCTTAAGGACAAAACAAAACAAAAGTAAATTATATTGCAGTATTTATTTTAGAAACATGACAATCACTGTTTAATACTTAACTTTCAAGAAAAAAGAGAAATTTTCACTAAGAGATAGATTAACTTACACATGAATTGTCCTGTAATAACTAACCTCTGCTTTTTGATTAAACTGATTTAACACTGGTATTGATTACATAGAAAACAGTCAAAACTATGTGTGTGGGAACTCGTCCAAGTTTGATTCAGAAAGAATAGTTTCAAAATATCCGCGTAGTGTACTTGGCATTCTCAATAAAGTAAAAAGAAAAAAATAGTTTGGAGACAAGACAATAATTGTCCAAAATTATTAAATTTAGGGTGGCCTCTTAAGAAAGGGACATGCCATTACATCTTTCACAGCTAAGGGCTCCGCTCTCTTTCTTCAAGAAACCATAATGTTGCATGAATCCAACTGCAGGTCATCTTCCAAGCAACATTGTCGGCCCTAAATCCAATAAATAGGCAGCCTAAGACACAGTTTGGAAAAAGCTATTCACTTCATTGGAAGTCATGGAAGTCACTCAGCTCAATAACCCACAAGGCTGAACCTCAGGCACAAGGCAGCCAGACTTGCCCAATTGGAGTCTAGCTACTACTCATGGGTCTGACTTTTATGTAACCGTCTATCCATTGAACAACCAATCCAGTTTCTAATTTTCCAGCAATATCATGTACTGTATAAAACAGCCATGCAAACAAGAATTCAATTAAAATTTTACTTCAGTTCTGAAGAAGGATCAAGAATAGCTGATTTGCCATTTTGTTTTTATGATATTGATGCTTTTTTATTAACAAGTTATTCTATATCCCAAAAATTGGCAAGGGTGTCCCTTGCCTCCAGAAAGAAGTGTCTAAAATTTACCAAAGCTGAATTAAAATAAAACTATAAATCCTAAATGATTTGGTGAGATGTCAGTCTTGAACAAGAATGCTACAAGATCCCCTAACAGAGTAGGAGAATTGTAACCTCATGAAATTTAGCACTCTTGCAAGATTTCAGCTGATTTTTTAAATGATGCTTGGGCAAATATATGAGATCAGATTGTTAGTGCCAAAGACTTGAAATAATTGTACATTATTCTATGATGTCATGCAAAACAAAGATAAAGTACTAACCACACTCCTAGTTTCAAAGGAAATAACTGAATGTTGGCTACGATTTTTTTTTACTCTTATCTTCTACTACAAATAATTCATTACCTCAATGATATAATCTCCAGGTGAGACATTCTGAAGAATACAAGTTGTTACATCTATTTTCTTTTCCTATGAAAAAAACAAACCAATTTTTCCTGCATTCATAAAATCTTTTCAATATTAGAAGAAACTACACTTTCATTACAAGGTGGATTCTACACTCATCATGCTGGAGAAAGTTATGTCAATTCCCAAGCAATTAAAGATACAGATTTGTAAATGAAGTACATAAATCATTAAGCCAAAAACCTTTGGGGTCCTTGTTTTATTGAAAATCTCTCTCTAGTCATAAAACAGTCAATCAAAAATCTTTCCCTTGTTTTAAAGAATTCAGAACCTATACTAAACACAGAGGACAAGTTTTTTCTTTCTCATAGCCTTTCCTGGATTACAGCCAATTGTATCAAATTGCAACAGGAAGTGTTTCCCCAAATGAATGCATATCACTGAATGCACTCAGCATTTAATCAAAGAGAGAGAAAATTGCAGTATCCCTTGAATTATATTTCACCGAAAAGCATATTAACTCTAAACTACCCTTACCCAAAGTACATTCTTTGTTATTCCCAGGTTGAAATAAATAAAAATGCAATAAAGTAATAGCACAAAAACTATAATTACAACTTTTAACTACACGTCATAAATATTGATTAAAAGAGTGCTGTATGTGCTTTCAAGTGCTCTAACCTAATGCTTAAATATTGCATTATCTTCCCCCCTACAATCGGCCAATGTAGAATTATCATCTCTAAAGCATGTATAATGTATAATATAATCCACCATTTTAAATAAAAGTGCAATTCAAAAATGCAAAGAACAGAAAAGAATGGAGGAAAAAAAGATCAGAGATCTAGGGAACATAACCAGCCTGACTAAACATAATAGGACTGAATCTTTTTTGTGTGCTAAATCTGGAGCTAATGTAATGAAGAAGCATCTAAAGTATGATGGGAATCAACATTCAGCAGGAGGTTACACTTGCTCAATGCCATTTGGAACTTGCCCATATAGCTACCCCATTTCAGCTACTCTATCACAGTGTCTCTCAACTTTGGAAACTTGAAGACATATGGACTTCATCTCCTAAAATTCCTCAGCCAGCATGGTTGGCAAGGAAATTTTGAGAGTTGTACTCCACATGTCTTCAAGTTGTCAAGATTGGAGAAACACTGCTCTGTCAGAATTCTTCCCAACTTCTTTATGAGGTTAATGTATCTGAACCCTGCCCCATTGTTGACTCTTTCATCAAATCCTGTTATTGTCAGCTGACCTAACCTAGTATAAAAGTGGTCTCTAAATGTCTTAGAAATTAAGTGAGATCCAGCATTCTAAAACATGAGCAAACCTGTTTACACATCTTCTGTTTGAACTGTCCATCAGTTTTGAGCTTGTAGTGCAGGTAGTAATATCTGAATCCAAAGTTATGTGGTGCATGATCAAAAGATACATGCATAGTAAAACCTTGCTGTGTAATATTCAAGCTTCTTGGCTTCCAAACTATCAAGGAAGAAAAAGATTTAGACAATGATTGGAACATAGTTTTTTGTAACTTGATGTAATTTTAATAGAGACAATATTAAAATTGCAGTTCCACTTACATGGTTTGCAGACCAGGTTGTCTGGTTGCAGCAGCAATTCACAAGCTATTTAGGGAAACAAAATAGACAAAAGCAAAATTGTTGAGATTTCACCTCTTCCGAAAAGCTAACTTCACAAAGTAAGGTTTTCATTTAGACAGGAAAAGATTTTTGCCTTTCTTTGTGTAAAAACTTTCAGACAGTAAAAGCTGTCTGTATCAGAGAGAAAAGGTGGGGCTCATGTAACAGCTTGGAATTTAGTTATAGTTCTGGAAAGCCCTACCTTGCCAGAAACTTGGTGCTTATTTTACACGAACAACTTGTTTAGGCTAATACCTAAACCTGTCCACATTTCCTAGTAAAAGAGAGGTTAAGTCCTCCAGCAAATATATAGGATAATTCTATGATTTTATGTTACATGATACAACAAGCATATGCTTTTGTACATCAATCAGAAAACTAGGAATGAAGGGTTTGTCTGTTTCCTTCTACTAACTTTACACATAAAAAGTAGCTAATAGTCACTTTGAATTAGGACTGTGCAAATACTTCAAAATCTATATTTCAAAATGCACGAGAATGTGTACAAAGCATCTCTTTTCCAAGCGTGAGAGTAGCAGCAGCAGCACTTTTTAAACTGCTTGAGCAAAGTCCTGCTTGAAAAGGTTACATAGGTCTCCAAATGATATGAAAGACAATAGAAGATCTTAATCTCATATGCTTGATACATGTATAGGCTGATGAATTTGTAGACTAGTCATTTAATTTCCCAAAGAAAATAACAGTTGCTGAGAGAAAGGCATGCATACAGTTCTTTTACAGGAATGTCTTACTAAAAATCAACTCAGTGTATCAAAACCTTCCTAAATATATTTCCATAATTCCGATGCTCATCCAGTGTTGGGATTCAGCCAGTTGGCACCAGTTCGGCAGAACCGGTAGCCAATTTTTTGTTGCCCAGGCCCAGAATGGACTTCCGGAAGCAGCATCCACACACAGAGAACCGGTTGTTCACGTATTTGAATCCCACCACTGTGCTCATCCATATTTTCTCTTCAAGGCCTCCAAAGCCATTTCACTTAAAGTATGCTTTGATGTGAATTTTAACCAGAAAGCTGCTATCAGTTTTCATTAAGATCTGTAAGGCAGAAAGGAATAATTGCACTGTTGTACTTACGCCGAGTTCTGAAGAAAAAAGGATGGTAGTTACTTTCATTCTTAATGGATGGAAAAGGAATAATCTTTACAAAATAGTCAGTTTCAAATTTCAGATTTAGGAAGGGCTGAGATTCCACTCTCTGAAAGGGAAGAAATATAAGCCAATTATTAGTATATTTTAACATGTCCTGGATAATCATGCAATTGGAGGACATGTATTTTCCTAACATAATTCCATATTTCCTATTTATAGGAATCAATCTTGGCACCAGAAAAAGACCAATTTCCTTATTTTATGACAATACAATTAGTTAAGATTTTAAGAAGAATTTAGAGAGTCAAATGAGTGTAATTAATTCTTATTAATGCTTACTGGATTCTCCAAATTCTTGTTCAAACTTTAACTAATAAAATTGTCATAAAAAATAAAGAAGTTGGTAGAATAAAGGCAGAGCAGGAAACACAATCTCTGTTTCCTCATAATTCCACATTTTTCATACAATGTAAACTGTGTACGGTAATTAAATATATTCAGATGCTGCTAAATTACAACTTCCTACTGCCCTCTTAAATGCCACACCTTTAAGGAACCTATAGATTAAAATTATGGCAATTCTTAGAGCAGCAGAATACTTCTCAGGGTGAAATGTGCACAGCCCAAGTGAGGGGTCCCCAGAGCCTGATATTCCAGGCAAACATTTGAAATAAAATATCCTTTAGTAGGGTTAGGGTCCCATCAATTTCAATAAGATTTCTGCTCTGAGATTTCTATGACTTTCAACACCAAGACTTACAGTCCACTTATAACTTGAGTTGAGCTGCTTTGGGTCTTTTAAAAGTAACTGCTGACATTGTCTTCTCTCTGATTTTAATTCTTCAAGTATAACTCGAAATCCTTTCAGAAATTCAATACCTGCATATATTTAAACAGATCAATAAATAAGTTTACTGATGAATATGTTTCCCTTAGATTTATATGGCTATTCAATTTGCAAAAAATGACTCTGACACACAATGTATAATAACATCAAAATAGGGAACAAGAAAATAAAATACATCCCAGACAGAAAAGAGAACAGAGAATAAAACACAAACAACAGGATGGCTATCACCTTTTGTTTAAGCTCCAATCTCCAATCATATACCCAGCATTAAGTGTGTAGATCAGGTCTCAACATGGCTATTGTTGAGAATTCAGGGAATTAAAGTCTATACATATGGAGGACACAGATATGATAGTGCTAAGCTTGGCACTAACACATCAAGTAAGCACATAATTTAGGAAAACCTGGCAATTACATTTGCACTGTATGGCATTCTTAAATAAGCAGATTCTAAGTAAAATATTCTAAGACCAGTTTAAGTGCAATTGTATCTTCCCATGCTCCTACAATACTTAGCACTAAACATTTTTATTTATTTTCCTTGTTACATTTGGTATTTAGTTCATGTACATTTGTACAAATATTTTTCAGCTCTAAATAATCTTGCAATAAGGAAGGCAAATCAACTACCTCCTTTATATTTAAAGAAAGAACACTACTATTTGTGCTGATATACAGACAGTGAATAAGAAAAATTAACCAGATCCCTGTTACCTAAGAGCCTTCAACTTCAGTTCTTTCTTGATATTTTGAGAAGGATTAACTTCTGATCATTACAAGAGAAAATGCCAAGCTTTGTAGGCCTTGGAGATTTAATGCATCCAAGTCTGCAGCTGCAAATTACCAATTCAGTAACACTGTGCACTTAGAAGCATTGGATATCACTTCCCCATTCTTTTTAATAGCTACCCATTAACAGCACTGAGTACGCCTCTATTCAGATTAACAGCACACTAAATATAATGAAATACATTGTGCTTTACCAAGATTCAACCATTCCTTTTACTGTTTCCCCAACATATATGTAAAAAATGCTTTTGCAAATATGTTGCTATCATCAGCTCACTATTATGGCCCCTTTCAAAAAGCTGATGAGGTTTCAATGCAGCCTGTATAAATTTGAACACAATAAAAATTGTAGGTGGGAACTCATTATTTTGGAATTCAGTACATCTCTACATTACTTCATGTTGATGAATCTTTCTTTTCTTTTAGGAATTACAATCCCAAGATCTGATATAAAAGATAAGTGTACAAATTACAGACACAGTTGACTTGATGTGAGTATTACTAATTTCTCTAATATTTATATCCAAGAAAGTCTGGGAGAAACTTATAGGAAAAGGTTAAGTAACATGGAGGGGAATAAGTTAAGAATGGCAAACACTTAAGGGCTCTATCTATTCAAAGATGAAGATGATTTAAGAATGACAGAGAAAATGCAATTTTGAAGTGTCTTTAAACAAAAGGGGCAAATTCTCCTTTATATTTGGCAATTTAGCTTGGCTTAATGGATTGTCTTTAAATCTTTTAGAACAAACTTCAATGTTAATAAGGTTGGGCAAAGCTTAATTTCAAGAAATCTGAAACATGGATTCAATGGACTGTCCTTGAAGCTGACACAGTTTAGCTGGAATGGAAAAAAGCAGAAATTTCCAAAGGGTTGGCATCTGTTTGAAATTCATTTTTTTCTCTACTTACCAATGGGGTTGGCTGTCCACAATACAGTCACTGCAACTTGGTCAGAGCATGCATACTGACTAATAGTGATGTTCTGTACATCTCCAATCACATGTTTTCCTATTGAATTCAAATAAGGAGTACAATCTGGGGAAGAAACAACTTAATTAAATACATTTAAAACAGAAAATGTTTTCTGTATTATTAGAGAACATTCAGAGAATGTTCTTAACATTCTCAATCATCCAGGTTGTGTATGTCCCAAAGGTGCTTTTCAAAAGGCAACTGGACTTTGTTTTTTCTTTGAAATAAAGAAGCTTGAGATGAGCTTGAAATGAGAAGAAAAACCTTTTTCAAAGAAAAAACTAAGAAAGTCCAGTGCCTTTTGAAAAGCACCTTTGGGAGTCCAATGATATCATTTTATTTTTAATCAGTTACTGGATGACCTGTGACCAGTATTTTTCCTCATTCTTTGGCTTTCATTGTCATTCTGGAGACCTGGAGCCTTCCATCTCTTTCCTTATTTGCTCTTTGTCTCTGATCCTGGAGACATACATTACTCTCCTCCTTTGCCTTGTCCTCTGTTCTCTTTCTGTGTCTTTTGTTGTCATTCTGAAGGCATGCATGCCTCCTCTCTCCCTCTTCTTCTCTCATGTTATTTGTTCTGACTGCTTGATCCTGAAACCGTGTGGTCTTGTTTTCTGCCCCTCTTTGGTGCATTCTGAAAACATTTGGTATCATCTGTTGACTAGGACAACTCCCCTCTCTTTCCACACAGCATAATTAGATAGACAATATTTTTTATTATGGTTGATCGCAGTCAGATGTTTAGATTGGATTTTGCATTTTTATCCACCTATTGAGTCCTCCGCAGGGACCTGGGTTAGGCAGATGTTTGTTTGATGATGTTAAAGGTGTTGTCACAGGATGTACGCTGTCCCAAATAAAGCTGCCTTTTGCAACAATTATTATTTCTGTACTTATTTTTTACTTCAATGCTATATGGTGCTTTCATCAACTTAGAAGAGTTCTCACTTCCTATCGGATCCCACATTGTTTTATGGGAAGCTGGCAGGGAGTGCTGCAAATGATGATCATGTGACTATGGCTGAATATGGCGAGGCAGTAGTGCAGCTGACTCTGGCAGTGTGGTGGTGCTGAAGTGGCCACAACTTGCCAAATTTCAGTCTCACGTGACTAATGGGTCCCAGATTTTGGACACATTCTTTAAGTTAGCCTCTTTGTGGTACATTGATTTGAAAAATCTTAGCCTAATGGATTCTGTGTCCATTAACATGGCAATGTTATAAATTAGTGAAGATTCTCATTATCCATTTATTGCTGGAAGAGTGGCTATCCTCTCTTAGCTTACTCAGTACTTTGTTGTATAACAATGCTGTTCCTGGAATCTATCACTTCTTATTTGGCTGCATTATACTTTTTCCTAAGAAGAAGTAGCTAAAAGTTGATTTCTTAGAAATAGTAGAATTCAAGTGAATGACAGCAAAAGTTTCATACAGAAAAACAGCCATCTGTGTAGGAAATTTGAAACAAGAGCTTCCTCCAACATCTGGATCTACTTAAAGGATAGCTTTGCAAAGTTTGTGCTCCAAAATGACAATTTGCCAAAAATCTAGGAGAATACTGTAAACTCTCATAACCAAAAAACCCCTTACTTTCCATTTCTCCATTTCATTGCTAGGCTGTGTAATCTCCAGCAAAGGCATATACTGTAAGTAAAAAATGCATTTCAGTCACTTTACATTAGACTAAAACTTTAAAATTAAATAGTAAGTGTATCCTTGTTTATTGTGATAACAATTCTGTTAGCAAGCAACTTTACAGATTATGTACTTCAGAAATCTCATCTTTTCTTGTGAGGAAACAACCTATCTGTGCAGAATTGTGTTCTTGGCAGGGTTGCCCACTTGTCAAATAACAGAGATCCTGGAGATTATGGGTGAACACAAACAAGTTTTCTAGAGCAAAGTTGGATTAGTGAACTCTACATTTGAAATGATAAATTAGCACAACCAAATTTCTCTTTAAAGAATATGCCTGGCTAGGCTAAATTAACAGACAAAATTGTGTCAGATAAATCATATCGTTAGGTTTCAAGTTCTAAGCTCCTCTTGGTATACAGCCTTGACTTTCCCTTCAAAGAAGAAAGTGAAGAGACACACAAAAATAACAATTGCAGTATTACAAACTCAATGCAATCATGTCTATATTCCTATATTCTGCATTCTCCCTAGTTTTGTTTTTAGTTACTGTTGCTTGTTGCTTGCTGATTTTTTGTCTGTATCTTTTTATATGCCGCAGTATAATGCTTATTTAGAGATTCAAATTTGCTTTAAAAAACACCCCTTTTTCTCTTAAAGGTTTATGGTGTTTCCTGTGTTTGGCACCTTACAAAACATTGCTAAATACAACATAATTGCTAGCTACTTGTTTTCTGATGGAGATTGCCACACAATAGTAATTCAATATTTCTAAAACTTTAGAGTGAATGATTTATTAATCTGAGTCACGTGGAATAATGAAAGAATTAAATCCTATTTGTTTGCAGCTACAAATGTTAGGAAAGCACAGAAATGGCCCAAATTGTCCTGCCTTTCTTTCATATATTCATCAAAGGTACAAATTGTTTTACCTGATCTTATTTAGATAAAATTTGAATAAAGATGCCATGGCTGAAGAAAATAGTTTTAATTTACCCCTTAAGTTTTTACTGGACAAAACGTTTTGCTCTATTTCAAACTCATCTTAATTAAAAGTCTAAGTGGTTAAATAAATAAGAACAAATTCAATGTTGTCTTCGAGAAAAGTCATGATGCAAAAGGATAACTTACTGTCATATTTAAAGGTAATATTAGGCAGCCCAATATTCTTTCCATTTGGAGAGAGGCCCTATAAAAATACGAGAGAACACAGCATAAGCCAGTGGCTGAGACAGTAAGTCGGACCTAGTTGATGAATGAATTCATTTGACTACATCAGGGGTAGGCAACCTTGGCTCTTTTATGACTCGTGGACTTCAACTCCCAGAATTCCTGAGCCAGCAGGCTCAGGAATTCTGGGAGTTGAAGTCCACGAGTCATGAAAGAGCCAAGGTTGCCTACCCCTGGACTACATCATCCCAGTGTGATACAGCTGAATATTAGAATTCCATCTAGTGAAGTACACTATGCTCAGCATTCCAGTTTTGATGAAACTAAGGAAGAATTCATAATTCTACAAAGTATGAACATTGTATGGTTGTCTTAAATGTTTCATGCTTCCCGTTACTGATGAATACAGTTCTGTAAATATACTCTTAAGATATTATTGAAAAAATACAAAGAAAATCTACAATGCTTTACACTAGCTCCACCATTTTTAAGCTCCCATTGCACAACTCAAAAAAGATGCAAATCATCTCTAATTCACATTCCCAACCTAATAAATTTTATCTGTGAAGAATTACAACTATAATTTTCACTAGCCATGACCTTACTAGAAGTCAAAAGTTGGGTAAAATGTATGCAAGAAGTATCAATCTCTCTTGAAAAAAAAATCCAATAACTGCTATGTTGTGTCCGAAATACTTCTGGACTGATTTGGGATTTGGGAAGAGATAATGTTGAATATAAATAAATGTTGTACAATATAAATACTGTATGGCTGAGAACATATCTTCCTAGATACAAAACAGGAAAATGCTGAATATATATAAAGTAGCACTCTGAATATATAACAACTAAAATTCATCTAAATCATTATTAAATGTCATTGAAAGGATACACTATCAATGAAAAGCTTTCAGGAAAGCTGTTATCCAAATATGACAAAGAACATATAACTGCAGCCTCATGAAAAATTCCCCAGAGAATTTTAAAATTTGTCAAATTTTAATGGACAGTGATCAATACACAGTGCCCAATAGGATCACAGGTGATAAAAAAAAAATATTTAATACATGACATCCAGAATAATTCATTTTTGTCATGTGCAGTCTTCTTTGCCAAACTATTTAGTTTTTTTTTAAGAATGAAACAGTACTTTAAAATGCAATCAAGTAACAATCACTGCAAATCAAACAAGATTTGTATTATATGAAGCAGTCTATTAAAATAATACATCTACTTTCTAAAATAAACTCTTCAGTTTCCTTCTATAGCTTTGATGATACAAAGGCTCCCTTAGTTAGTGGTGTTACTTAAGTAAGATATAACAGGCTAAATATAAAATATTTGGAAGCTTTATTGATCTAGCAAAAGTCACTGAAGTTGTATGCATTGAGGCAGTGGTCCCCAATCTTTCTGGCTTTGCAGACCGGCGGTGGTGGTAGTGGTGGGGGAAAGCACGCTCGACCCACACTTGTGCGGCCTGGTTCCGAACAGGCCATGGCCCAGAGATTGGGGACCCCTGCATTAAGGACTACATGTTTTATAATTGCTTGATACATTTTTAGTTCAAAATGCCTTTTAGTGAAGGCCAGACAATATAAGGTAATCCTCAAGCATGCTGCAAATCTACAGAAAGACCATACACAAAAGAAACACACACAAGAAGTAACAAAATCCAGTTCTTTAAGAAACCCAACTCTCATTTACACAACCAAAACATCTTAAAGTATTTCTAATTCAGTGCTGATATGCTCCAAATCTTCTGAATATTTTTTTGTTTTCCTAAGTGGAACAGAACAGAACACTTTCATCATCCACAAGTGAAAAGGGTTCTCCCCTCACCCTTCAGCAGGATATTTACTGTGGTGAAGGTGGAATAGCACAACTTTTCCCTGGACTTCTGGACACTAAGCATGAGATGGGACATTATCCCCTGAAAAGATTTCCCCTCCCCATTGTAGGAAGCCATTTCCTAGGGTAAGGATCCTAGGAGCCCTTCTCCCTACCCCTCCCCAGGAAACAGTTATTGTCTAATGTAGGCAAGATCCCTATTCTGATTGTTTATAGCTTATTTTAAATACATAGCTAGTACCTGCTAAAATCTCAAAAACTGAGTAAATACTACAATGACTGAGAACATGTCTTACTAGAACTTTCTAAGTTTCTTCGTTACTAGCAAACCCAGGAAAAGTTAAACAAGAGACTATGCATTTTTTTCCATGTTGCAGAATTCACAGTAGGAATAATTTTATAACATTCATTTCAGGGCAAAAAGTATTGGATATGGTGATTGTTAATGCTTTCCTAGCAAGATAAATGAGTTGAGTTCTATCAATCATAGCTAACTGATAAATAAAATGTCAGGTAATGGAATGTAATTACTTTATGTTTTTTTTATTTGAACAGTAATAGTAAACAGTAAACAACCACCAAAGCTATTGTGTATGTCTAACTTTTGAAACCTTTAATTGGCCACACAACAAAAGATTTGTAGACTTTTTACTGTACCTGCCTCTAAGCTAGCCATCCAGACTCTCAAAATATTGCTGCAGAAGATTGCTGCTTCATCAGTTGGTTTAATTGGGTGCAGTTAATCTTTGAAATATGACCTTTTGTTCAATATCTGTTCAAAATTATGACAGTGTTGAACAAAGGGGCTCATGATCCGTGCTTGCAAATACAGCCATTGCAGCAGCACCCCACCGCCCAGCCTCATGATCAAAATTCAGGCACTTGGCAATCCAAATATAACAGAATAGAATTGGAAGGGACCTTGGAGGTCTTCTAGTCCAGGGCTTTTCAACCTTTTCACCCATCGTACCACTTTTAGGATACAGCAATATCCAAGTACCACCAGTCGCCTAGCAAGGTGTCAAAAACTTGATGACCAAAAAATAAAAAGGAAAAAAGTGATGAAGTACAGATAGTCCTCGACTTACAACAGTTCGCTTAGTGACTATTCGAAGTTACAATGGCACTGAAAAAAGTGCCCCCCAAGCCACAGCCAAGCAAGACACCTGCCTGCCCACCTGGCGGCGCTCTTCCTCCTGTCCGAAGTTTCCATTGCTGTGAGCATTTCTGTTGAGGGTTGGCAGCGGGGGTGGGATGTGTGTGGTTTTTATTCCCCCCCATCTGATGGGTGGTTGCAGCAGATTTTGGTCACTTCACATGACCCTGGGACACTGTGACCGTCATAAATATGAATCAGTTGCCACGCATCTGAATGTAAATCACAAGACCCTGGAGATAAGGCAACATTCCAGCTGATTGGTGCTTCTTCAGGGTTCAGCAGAAGTGCCAGGATCAGTGCTGAGCTCCAGCTGGAGCCTGGCGCTGATCCTGGCGCTTCCACTGAGCCCTGACAGTCCCGAAGAAGCGCCAATCAGCTGGAAAGCGGCACTGATCCTGGCGCTTCTGCTGAGCCCTGACAGCCTGGCAGCTCCAGCCATCTCTCGCTCAGGCTTGTGTGGTGCTGCCACCGGTTCAGCTCATTCCCCTCCCCCGCTACCACTTTTCTAGGATGGTCGTGTACCACCTGCCAGGTGCCAATGTACCACAGGTGGTACCTGTACCACTGGTTGAAAAGCCCTGTTCTAGTCCAACCGCCTGCTCAAGCAGGAAAACCTATACCATTTCAGACAATTGGCTGTCCAATTTCTTCTTGAAAACCTCCAGTGTTGGAGCACCCACAAAGTGCAAAGTTGTAATTAGAGAGACAATGAAAAGTACAGTATATTAACAAGTGCTTGAAAATCCAGTTGGAAAAAGAAAAAAAAATGTTTCAAATCATTTATGTATAGTCTACACAAAATATTCCAATGCTATCCTTCCACTTCTTTTAAGATCACCAAAAAATGATATTCAAGAATGAACAAAGAAAGAGTAATTATATTACGCAGCAACAATTGATTTTTTTTCCTCCCACAAAGATTTAGTAGACCTGCCTGTGCAGTTTCTTTAAACCACCCCTTAGCATTTTCTTGGATTCCATTATATTGACAGAAAAAAAAACAAACCATTGTTTTCTCTTCCCTCTGAACAATCAATGGATTAAATCAATTCCTTGCCTCCTACAGAGTTGCAACACAAACGAATTTAGGTTAGGACTCTGGGGCAAAAGTTTGTTTTTCACTTACAGTGAGGTTTTTTTCTTTTTAACCTTGTGGGAATATATTGCTTTTCTACAAAAAGGAATGATTTTATATTTCAGCTTCTGACAGTTCAGCTAAGAATTTTTCTAATCCCTAATTACACTTTTACTATTTATGAAGCAGTGTATATATTCTGAATTAGTCAACAGAATTTAATGGAGAGAGATCCTGGCTATTTATGATGCGGTTTTAATATTCCTGATGCAACTGTATTCCTCTTTTATCAGGATTTTAAATTAAAAGCATTCCAGAGAGAACATATGCTGGAATCAATTCAAGATTCTGGCAGTTAAAATCTACTACTAAATTCTAATTGTACTTATAAACATGCAGAAGAATCAATTATACAGCTCAAATACATTGTTCTTACTTGGAAGCCAGAGACAATCAGAAACCTAGTCATGAGGGCTTATATTATAGGGTAACTATGATTGGGGAGGCTTTCAATTTGTGTATTTCCCCATAATTCATTACAGTGCAACAAAGAGATTAAAAGAAGGGAAGTACAGTAGAAACATTCTATAAATAATATACAGGATATACTGTATGTATGCCCTTCTTCAAAAACTATGGAAGCAAACATTTTTAAAGAATCTGAACATTAATAAGACCAGCTTAAAATCAGAGCTTAGATAAAATTCCACAAACAATGCATATAAAGCAACTATACACTTATAACATACTACTATCTTTTTGGTATAAGAAGTAAGCAAACTCACAGGTGCTTTTTATTTAGCTTTTAGATCTTCATTTCCCCCATCTACCCCCAGCCTTTTTAGTGGCAGTCTCCTCTATATCTTCCTTTCCTATCCTCTATCTCAGGGGTCTTCAAACTTGGCCATTTTATGACTTGTGGACTTCAACTCCCAGAATTCCTCAGCCAGGCACGCTGGCTGAGGAATTCTGGGAGTTGAAGTCCACAAGTCATAAAAGGGCCAAGTTTGAAGATCCCTGCTCTATCTAGTGGGCTAATGTGTCAAGGTGCTCATGTTCAGAGTCAAAGAAAACAATAGTGCCTTGTTTGGGGAGGGCCAATCACGTATCCAGAATAAGCAAGAGATTGGAGATGGTAGAGCCAACTGATAACACAGTCTATTACAGCTGGTGTGGTACCGTGAGATTCTGTTTTAGGTCCAGTATTCTTCAGCAGTTTCAACTTCATAAACTGCTTAGACAACAGGATAGAAGGGGAACTCATTAAATTTGCAGATGACACTAAGTTGGGAGGAATAGCCATTGCTTTAGAACAGGGGTGTCAAACTTGCAATGTCACGTGACATGTTCTGACGTATCGTGACTTTTTTCCCATTGCCGGCAATGGGGTGGGCACGGTTTTGCTATGATGCATCCGGTCCCTGGGCCAGCAGTTTGACACTCCTGCTTTAGAAGGTAGGCTCAAGATCCAGAAAGATCTTGATAGGCTTGAATACTGGAGACCATCACCTGGTGATCTTATCTATTCCACATTTTTCTATCTTACCAAGAAGTAGGCTGTGGGCTATGCTGTCAAAGACTTTACTAAAGTCCAAGTATACTATATCCATAGCATTTTGCTAGTTCACTAATTTAGTCACTTTGTCAAAGAATACAATATTATTTGTCTGGCATCATCTGTTTTTGACAAACCCATGTTAGTTTTTAGTAATAGCTTTACTATTTTCTATGTCTTCTCTGTATTTTTCTGGGTTTTGGTTTTTTTTTTCAGATGAATGCCATTGTCATCTCTGGTCCAATCTGGCCACTAAGAAATATCTTCCTCATACAGCTGCTGAACTAACTAGCAATGAGATCTTTAAGTTAAAATGTTTGATGGCTTCAGACTAGCAACTGAATCTCCTTCAAATAACATTCCTGCTAATCTAAAAAATTTTTAAGTAGAAAACTTGTGAATTAAATGTAAGATGAAAAGTATGTAGCCCACCACCCAGTTCCAGTTCTGGCCCTTCCCATCATTGGATTTCAGGAACTGAATAAAAAATCTTACCTTACCAAATTCAAGTTTAGGCATATTTGCAGGATGTCAAAATTGGTAACAAAAAACAAAAGGATCTTGTATAACCAAGAACATGTAAAAACGTGCAACTGTATAAACTGGTTAACCTTAGAAGTCAAAGGCAGGTGTAAGGAAGGAAAAACAAGGCATCTGAAGGTAATTAGTATCTGAGTTAAACCTCTTTTTAAAAGATGTAAACTGCTGCTTAAGGGATCAAAACAGATACTATTTAGTGATTTCAGAATGCACCTTGTAATCGGGGAGCCTGTCTAGCTTCCTTTTCATTTGCTTATCTTATCTTTAGTTTTAAGCATATCAAGTTTAAAAGGGTTTCCTGAAACAGGAAGGAGACAAAATTACCTCCCATTAGTCTCATCTGTTGTTACTCATTCATGCCTTGTTAGAAGCAGATGAAAAGCCTTTCAGTCATTTACTAGAAAACAAAAACTCAGGCCAGCCAGAAAAAGTGGAAACTTGGTTGTCCTATAATTGTGGTCTTTTTGTTCCTTTTTTTTGAGGTTTACAAAACCATACATTTCATGTTGCAGATGCTCCCACTATGGCCTACCTAAATTAAAAAAAACAGGCAGTTTGTTCAAATTATAAGCACCATATAATTGATGCAATCAGCATCAGTTGCTTTGATGATAAATCCAAACTTATTAGGCAGGCATACTGCTGGGAAGGGAGAAAGACAAAAACCATCTGGTCTGAAGTCAAATTACCCAGACTTCAGGGCAGCTTCTAGGAAAAAAAGGTTGGCATATTGTGACTTTTCCAAAAAGCTGTATTTACAGAAGCATGGTAAGATTTGATTTCTTTTCAATGCAAGAGGGGTGGAATATTCTTACTATTCTGATGGTCACACATTAAGAAGTCATAGCTTCTTATAAGCATTGTTTGTTGGCCTGGCTCATCCATACTACTAAGGTAAAAGCTGTAGTTTCCTAATCACAAACAATCATATCTTATCACATGAAGCCCTGATCAGTTCATAGGCAACTGTAAACCTGGATAATGCGTTGGTTGATAGATGCTACCAGGTCCTATGAAATGTCAAACCCATGCAAATCTGAACTCTTCTCACATCAGCTAGGCCGAGCAAAAATTCGCTTGTACCTTAGTTTCTACAACATAATGGCTAAAAGAACTGTGACAGCTGTTCTTAAATGAAAAAAAAAACTACTCTAAAAGCCAACTCAAGATTTAAGTTGCTTATTTTTTATTCATTTTTAAAAAACAAATATCAAAGTGCTTCCCTAATTTGTGTAGTGTTAGAAATTGAATCCTTGGATCATAAGGCAACCTCTCTCATAACACTAGGTCTCATCTCTCCATCCAAGAATTCCTAAGGCTGGGTTGGATCTAAAATTTTGTTCATCTCTTCACAGCCTTAGCAAATCTGGTCTAGGAGAATTCAACTGTGTGGCAATGTTAGCTTATGAATGTGTTTCTTTTTGCCATTTTAATGTCACAATTTTAAAAGTCTTCCATCTGAAAAATGTTTCACACTGAATCATCCAAAGAGATTCACAGCTGTCTTACAGACTGAGGCACATGAAATTCATTGTAGCATTTAGGTGTGCATATATACACCTCTGAAGTGGATAAGTGTCCTTCAGCTCCAATATGAGCATCCTCTATCTGTCAGATGCTAATTAAAGGAGACATGCCCCATTCCTGGGTTCCCAGAGCAATCATGCAGCTCAAGAAGTCATCCAGCTGTGTGCCTACATTGAATCCAAAGCATCTGTGCTCACTTTGGATCCAAATACTGCATATCTTTAATCATGTTCTTTGCAGATTACTTATCTCACTTTCTGGTTATGTTCACACAACACAATAAGCCTGACTCCTGGGTGAACCCCTACCTGCATCTTATTCAATCATAAACTAACCTGGAAGCCTAGATTTGTGCATCATCCTAATGTAATTTATAGGTTATACCATCCAGAAAGAATCAAATTAAATCTTAATTTGTTTCATCAAGCAAATTCCATAGAGTCTTCACCAATAAATATACAACATATCCTAATTTTTGAGTGAGTATAGAGTACGTACTCACCCAACTCAGCTTTAACTGAAATAGCTGGAGTACCTTCATCCATATCCAGTATACCCCTCAAATGATATGATTATATTTGGTCTAAGAGTAATACGTGTTTTAAACCCATACTTCAGCCCCATGCAAGAGCACAAATCTAACTTTAGTTCTGTATATTTTAATAATTGGGGCTAGATACCCCAGTTAGTGTTTCACTAATTTTAACAGAAAAAAAAAACTACTCCTATATAAGGAAAGGTATTGACTTGTTCTATTAATTCACCATTCAAAAAAACATACAAGATAGAATAACAGAGTTGGACGGGGCCTTGGAGGTCTTCTAGTCCCCTTGCTTAGGTAGGAAACCCTATAGCAGGGGTAGGCAACCTTGGCTCTTCTATGACTCGTGGACTTCAACTCCCAGAATTCCTGAGCCAGCACTGGCTCAGGAATTCTGGGAGTTGAAGTCCACGAGTCATAAAAGAGCCAAGGTTGCCTACCCCTGCCCTATACCATTTCAGACAAATGGTTGTCCAATCCCTTCTTAAAAACTTCTAGTGGAAGTTGGAGCATTCACAACTTCTGGAGGCAAGTTGTTCCACTGATTAGTTGTTCTAAATGTCAGGAAATTTCTTCATAGTTCTAGGTTGCTGTCTGTTATATATATGTTATGTCCAAAATAGATTTCTGCAAGAAGAGTGGCAAATGATGAAACATGCCCTGTGATGTTGTAGCTTATGTATTAGTGTCTGCTGTTTTGTCAAAAATCTGAATGCCTAGGATTTGCATTTTGATACGTTTAATAATTCATCTTGTTTCAGTTTGTACCTGACACCTGAATACTTCCTTTTTGCATTTGCAGATGCTATCCATTTGTGTCATTTCAAATTCTTTGAGATTTCAAAATTTGAATCATTAGAATTCAATATACGGTACTTATTTAACATAGATGAGGAAATGAGGAGATTTTAATGTAACAAAATTATTTGAATAAGGAAGACCAGAGCTTTTTTTAAACATCTAATTTCTCCTGCTATAACCACAGCATACTGTAACCTTCTACACCTAACACTGTGATTTTAGAGAATACAGTAAAGCAGAAACCAGTGAAAAGGTATCGTTTTTCTTGTCTTGAAAAGAAGTACTGAATTTCCTATCAAGTAGATATGTCAGGGAAGGAAAATTTGTAACTTTTCAGATGTTTCTGAGCATCAATTTTGAATAGCTCCAACAAGTCTTCCCACAATCTTCTCTTCCCCAGTCAAAACAAAAACAAAAGCAGTCCTTCTGAGAAGTTTTTCCTTCCCAGTCCCAATCCTTGCTCACCTGCCAATACCTTTTCTAACCTCTGGTGCCCAGAACTAGATACAATAATCTAGGCTTGGCCTGACCAATACAGAATACAGTATAATAGTGGACAATGGGGAAGAATACTGATAGTTTTAGCAGGAAATCTAGACTGCCCTCCGATTTCCTTTATCAAGACAATTTATTTTAAATTGTAACCTCAAGCACATTTACTAGCAATTAAGCTAATTAAATGTAACAACACTTAATGTCAAGCAAACGTATAGCATTATGCTGTTATTAATCTAAATAGTTGTTCTAAGCCCAATGCAAAAAGAAAATGAATTTTTGTAGTATCTTTTTCTGGGATTAAACTGGATAATTTTTTTGCCCCAATATGGATAAACAGCAGTTAATGTTTATACATCATTTACTGAAATGACTCAAATTCAAATTATGGTTTATTTATCCTGATGTTTCCTTGATTCATAGAAAATATTAGCCAAATTTTTGTATTTAAATATTAAATCCCACTAGTAGTGAAAAGCAAGTTGTTTTCAATAATCTGGGAAATGTATCAGAGTTGGAGAGGGGAAAAGAAAGGCTGGTACATATCAGTAAAACCACTGTTTAGCATTACAGGTATTTGCAAACTGTTATAAGTTAGGCATTGTGAATACTTTCAAACATCTTAACATAAAATATTGTCTCTTTTGTAAAATTGGGAATGACAAAATTAGCTTATAGCTAAAAGCTAATTAATCCCTTTCCCTACATATATTACAGACTTTATCTATTAATCTGGTTCATAGGATTTTCATTTAATTTTCTGGGTCAGTTAAGCATAGTGCTTAAATTATAAAACTAGAACTGAGAATTATTCCCATCTCAGGCAGAGAAATTTACTTGGTTACTGTAGCTCATCTGGAAGATGGATTTTCTGGAGAATAATTGGGAAAAGATACTATGTATGCTACCATAAAGAGAGGCAGTTTGGTGTAGTGGTTAAGACATCAGCCTAGAAATCAGGAGGTCATGAGTTCTAGTCCCACCTTAGGCAACAAGCCTGACCTTGGGCCAGGCACTTTCTCTCAGCCTAGAAAGGAGGCAATGGCAAACCACTTCTGAAAAACCTTGCCAGAAAACTGTAGGGATTTGTTGAGGCAATCTTCAAGAACCAGACATTATTATATGGAAGAAAAAAAGTGCTATGATTGGCACCTTAAGGTCCTCTAGGAAAGGCAGAATATCAATCTTAGTAACCATAACAATACTTTATTGGAACATCTAGCACATTCTAGCACAGAGCTTTCAACATTTTTCATCTTACAGTGCACATGTCATAGGCTGGATTTCTGTGTCACAAGCCTCAAAAATCTGACCTCACAGGTTGTGGGCTTTAGGAGGAGAAATGGAGGTAATCTGCTCCTAGCATATCATGGAAGTGAGGTTTGGCTGATGCAAGACATCCACAGACATTTCATGGCACAGTAGTTGAAAACCACTAAAGGCAATGTGTGATTCTTTCCTGCCTGTGATGGAGAGTCTGCCTGTTAAGACTGATATTTTAATCTTAAAGCACATGCTATACCTAGCCTAGCATTCCAACCTTTTTATTTTATAAATATTTTAAAAAAATATTTTGAAGACATTGGGTTGAAGATTCTTCTTGATTAGGTTGAGC